CGTTTAGAGATAAAGATTTGGGAATCAACAATATATAGAAGTGGCCAAGATTATTCAGAGGAAATGTACAAAGTAGGAAAAAAAAATAGGGAAAAGGACAGAATCTTTTGATAATCCTAAAATGCTTCTGAGTCCCACATCTTAACCCAAATTGAAAAGGAGTATTCTTTCACATTTCAGTTTTTGCTGATACAAAAGGGTGCATGCTGATACTTGAATATACTTTCAAGTACCTGTTTACTCAGCTGGAGATTTGATATTTGTCTTCGTTGGATATTTTGAGTTACAAGCTTTTCTAGAGCAAAGATCTTTATGAAACAGAGTATAGCATCACATATGTAAGAGGTTACTTAAGAAGAAAGGACTCTTAATACCAGGATTGATCTCTCTCTCAGTCAGTTGTGGTGAAAAGAGTGTGGTGATTGTCCTTTATAGCATTAGAGCTAATGTTACAAGTGAAGGATATCTTCTGATCATCGTGTATATGTTTTCATTCTGTCTTGTGGTTGGGAACTGTTTAGTGTTCGGCGTGAAATGTAAAATAAGTTAGCTGAAAACTTGGGATGGTAGAGCTCAAGCTAGTTATCATGGTTCTTCCTTAAAATACTTAAGTATTCTTTCTTTGTTATTATTATGGTGATGAGTTCTATTTTTATTAATAACATAAACTAAGTTGCAGCAGCAGAGATCCCAAAATGCAGTGCTTAACCACATTTGGAAGTTTCTCTCACACCACATGGTAATTCAGAGATTAGGATTCCTTTCATTTTGTTGTTCCTCTGTCTCCTTAGGTATTGTCAAAGCAGAGTCACCACTGTGACTGAGTCTGATCCTGTAGCAAGGGGTGAGGGAGGGAGGGGACACCAAAGCATATGAGTGACACCTAAGTTTTGGCCAGTCCCAGCAGGAATTTGAATTCCTCAGGACCCCAGAGGTGGGAGCCTAATCCCAGAGCACCCAGCCTGAGGAAAAAGCTAGGGAAGAAGAAGAGCAGAAGACTTGAATAATTAACATTGAGCTCAAATTATTGCTAAAGGACTGTGAAAGCACTTGGTTGCAGTCTGACTCCTTGTCCTAAAAATCTTATTCAGGATTCAAATGTAGCAATTACTTGCGCATAATTGTTGTTATTGTTCAAAGTTCCCAAATTGTATAAAGATTCAGTTGGCAAATAATTTTATTCAGCCCTCAATATGTACCAAGCACTAGGCACTAAGGATTCAGTGGAGAACAAGATAGACAACGTTCCTGCCCTATTGGAACTTAAATCTACTGACTACTGGTGAATTACAAATGAGGGAATCCTGTAGTTTAATTTATGTTTGAGTGTAATCAGCTCCTTTGTGGAAAATCTTCTTGACTTTATCATAGTCTTAAAATCTTAAACTGTCAGGAACTTTCCAGGTTGCTTCAGCAAAGTGAGGTTAGGCATACCAGGCAAAAGAACAGAGTGTTGGTAAGGGGGAGCAGAAATAACACAACTTTGATCAAGCTTTTGCTGTAAACACCACCACCTGGCTACTTCAGAAAACAGTGTTCTCATCCTTATCATCAATGTGTGCTTGTTAAGTAGGTGGGTGGAGAGTGCTAGATCTGGCCCCTCATCCTCTGGAAAATGTAAGCATCTATTTCCTCGAAGATGACACAGGAAAAAAAAAACACGTCGTGTGGTTTTTGGTAATGATAAAGCACCATTTTCAATCCACTTATATTTTTGAAACTTGAGCAATGAAATAAGAATTGAAAAAGGTATGGTCATGGCAGCCTGGAACATCTCTGAAGTTACTGTCTTTGGAAGGGAAAAGTGATAGGAAAAGATGAATATGAGCTGAGAACTTATGTTATTTACATGTATATTTGGCTTTTTGCTACTGCTGTGAGTTCTGCCTAAAACAGATACTGTCAAAATCAGATGGCTTTGTTAGTGTTAAAAACTCTCTGGTCCCCTTTCTACCCCAGTACCTAATGAACTTCCAGTGTTCTAGTTCCAAGTAGCTTCCAAGCAGTTGATTAAATTAGGATCCATTTATTCAGTATTCAGTCATCAGACATTGATGTTTCTATAGTGGTAATGTCCTTGCCCTTCAGGAGCTTACAGCCTATTTGGAAGACAGATCATGATGATGCCTGCTGATAAGTTAGTCTAATATGATGAGTAATGTTAGAGGCCACACATAGAGATTGCGGCCATCCTTATGCTCCCTCTGAGCATGAGGCTAGTCCATAGACCCACAGAATCTACACTAAAGACACTGCTCCTTGCCTGATATGTGGCTTGGAAAGACAGAGGTGCCAAGGGCTGCCCTGCCTACTTATGCCGTTTTTATATTTCCATGTTATATACCATATGAGAGTTTCTTCCCCTCCATTATACTGAAGAAAATAAAGATAAAATCTATTGTTATGCAGAGCATCCTTATAACTTAATTTACATAATAACTTCCAGTGAGTTATTTCTAGCAAGTCAGGAGTCCCTTTACATTATATTCCATTTCTTCTTTGCAAACGCATCATGAATGGTCAATAAACCTAGCCTGGCAAATTTACTTAAAAAGTATCTTCTGTCTGACAAAGACATTTATAAATTTGTACCTGTTACCCTCAAGTCACTTCTGACTCATAGTGACCCTGTAGGACAGAGTAGAACTGCCCCATAGGGTTTCCAGGGAGCAGCTGATAGATTTGAACTGCCTACCTTTTGGTTAGCAGCAGAGCTCTTAACCACTGTGGCACCAGGACTCCTAAATTTGTACCAGTGACCCTCAATTCAAAAATTGGTCTCAATTAGTGATTATCAACTCTGCAGCACTGATGAATCATCACCCTTTTGTAACTGAATTCCTTTGGTGTCTAGTCCCTACTTTATATTCTGCATTAAGAACTAACCATACTCAAGCCAATCTTCATCCTTCTTTTTTTTACATGTCTTCTAAGTGCTGCCACCTTAAAACTTATTTTTTGACATAAAAGTACAGACTTCTACAGCTGAAAGAGACCATACTAGTCCAACACGATCATTATATATAGATAAGGAAATGGAGTCTTAGAGATATGAAGTAATTTGTGTCCAAGGCCACATATGGAGTTAATAGCAGAGGCTATACTCAAATCAAACCTAATTCCTAGGCCACCCCTCTGCTTATGTATTTGGTTTGCTGGTCCTATCTTCTCATTGGAGCACAATGCTGCTCCCACTTATTATTTTCAGCCTTCTGTCTTCAGTGGCACTAAATCCTTCAGTGCAAAACCTCTATGCTTCCAGATTTCTAGTGAGTATGAAGACTCCTACGGAGTCCCTGGGTGGCACAAACTGTTAAGCGCTCGACTACTAGCTGAAAGGATGGTGGTTTGAACCCACCTAGAGGTGCCTCAAATGACAGGCCTGGCGATCTGCTTCCAAAAGCTCACAGCCTTGAGAACCCTATGGTTAGTTGTACTCTGCACACATGGAGTTGCCATGAGTCGGAATCGACTTGACAACATTTAACAACATGAAGACTCCTAAATCTTCTTGATCTGACTATTCACTGTAGCTCCCAGCCCACTGGATTTTTCCATTTGGATGTTCTCATTTCCAGTTCCAATTCCACACCTAACCTGCCACCTTCCTCCTCTAAACTGCTCCTTCTTAGCTTATTTCCAATAATGACAGCACCATTCTTTTCTAGACTCAAAACCTTGGTAGTGGTGGTGAAGCAATCCTTTTCTCTCTCTTCTTCCTACTGTCACCACACTGGTACCACCACATTTGCCCAAGTCCTTTGCTCTTTCTTTGTGACTTCAATGCCTCTCTACCTTTTTTTTAATAACAGCTTTCTTGAGATATAATTAACATACCATAAAATTTACCCCGGTGTGTACAATTCAGTGGTTTTTTAGTGTATTCTCAGAGTTGTGTAACCATTGCCACTATCTAATTTTGGAACATTTTCATAACCCCCAAAAGAAACCCTGTACTCATTTGCAGTTACTCCCCATTCCTCCACACCACGCCATCCCTGCCCCCTGCAACCACTAATTTACTGTCTCTATGGATTGTCCTATTCTGGACATTTCATATAAATGGAATCATATACTATGTGGTCTTTTGTGTCTGGCTTTAAGGTTCATCCATGTTGTAGGTGTATTGGTACTTCCTTCCCTTTTAAAGCTAAATAATATTCCATTTGGTTTATCCATTTATCAGTTGGTGGACTTCTGGGTTGTTTCTACTTATTGGTTACTGTGAAATAATGCTGCTCTGATCATTTGAGTATAAGTTTTTATGTGGATATGTTTTTAGTTCTCTTGGGTATATACCTAGGAGTGGAATTAATATAGAATCTTTATTTAATTGATAAAGGAAAGAATGAAATGGTATGAGAACCCAAAGTTTTTATTTGGGAAATTTGAGGTTTCCCTTCTATATTAGTTCCATAGGATTAAAATTCTTTGCACTGGACCTGGGAGAGCACTGTGCTCCCTGTGGTGCTTGGCATATCAGGAAATCCAACAGAAAAGAGTGAGCCTGCAGTCAGAATCACAAACAATACAAATGCCCCCACTTAATAGAGGGCTATTGTATTAGGATAGGGTAACAAAATACCCAAAACATTTATTCTCATTCACTTTACATAATGAAGTGACTCTGTAGAAATAAGATCACAACTGTCTCCCATTTAGATTAAAATGAACACTTACTTCAAAAGTGTCCTGTCCTCTGCTTCAGGACATGAGACTTTAGAGTAAGGATAAGAATGTTTCCTTGTTCTCTCAGCTGTCCCCCTTTCCAACCCAAACTGAACTACGACAGAGAGAAGGAGGGGTCTGGAGCTGCTTGTGGAATGATGTTCCTGTCTGTGATGCCATTCAGAGTAAGAGCAGGCTTGAAGCGCTGCCTTTACATTTAGAGAAAGCCAGGGGATGGGAAACATGTCTTTGAAGCAGAGCTCAGTGTTGAACATCAAATGGTCAGTCACTCAGAGGTCACTAATCACACTCTCCTTTTCATTGTTTTTCAGTGAACGAGATCATTGGGAGAGACATGTCCCAGATTTCTGTTTCCCAAGGAACAGGGGTGAGCAGAGAGGCTCCCCTCCCGAATCCCGAGTCCCTGGATTCAGGAAGACCCGACGGGCTCTAACCGTTCTCAACTGCAGCTTTGTGTCCCTATACTTCTCTCCTTGGACCTGTTGGACTTCCAACTCTGCGGTCTTTGGGACTAGCACCAAGAGTTGAGGTCACCACTCGTGCGGAAAGCGTCAGTCCTCCGCCTCAGGCCTTGGGTAAATTTTGTGAAAGAACAAGGAGCAGCATAGGCTGTTTGAGCTTCGGGGAAATGAGCTTTTGCTTTTTGTATTTAAATAGGATACTTTTATATGATGGGTGCTTTTGAGTGTGAATGCAGCAGGCTCTCCGTTTCAGAGGTGCTGCTTTTGCAGGTGACCTGGTTACTTAGCTAGGATTGGTGATTTGTACTGCTTTTTGGTCATTTGAAGGGCCTTTTAGCTTTGATGATGTTTTTAAAATAGGAACTTTTGATAAAACCTTCCAGAGGCAAACAAAAAGAAAAAAATATATATCCTAAGCCCATGCCTGTGGCCTCAGAAACTCAGCATGTGTCCTGAAGCCTTTCATAGATTCATAGGAAGTAAAGCCAAATGTAGCTCATACCTCTTTATAAAAGTAAACTGTTGTTAGATAGAATGAGAAGAGACCATTCCATCATTGAAGTGTTGGAATATAAAGACATTCCAGAGCATAGCCTTTTTTGTAACTTTCTAGGTAACCTTCCTGCAGTCTCTCCATACTGGCTCCATGTTGAAATTGCTTTTTTCCCGCAGGACCTTAGGTAAGATGGCTACATGTAAGGTGACTTTGAAAGGTGGGTTTCAGCTTGGTAGCTTTCCTTTCTTGCCATCTTAGAAATAAGTAGGCTGTGGAGTGCTCTTCCTGTTTGTATCCTTTGGTCCCAGAACTTTTCCCAGGTGGGAGCACCAGCCTTTGTCTATTCTGTCACCTTTGAAGCCAGTCTCATGATGGTTTAGGTAATTTTGCTGGTTCTAACTGACCTCTAGATGCCAGGGTGTGTCAGGAGCTAAGCACATATAAGCTATGCTTCAGGACAGGAGTAGAGAAAATGTAGGACTCCACAGGGAAACTTGTAAGATTCACAGTGGCATGGAAAGCTTCCCCCATTCTGTTTACAGCCTGAAATGATTCTGGCCCACCCTCACTGGTCTGCATGGCCTGGAAACCAACTTTTTCCCTAAAAGGCTTTGAGGCAAATCTAGAAATGAGGTGGTATGACAGACCTAACCCTCCACACCAAAGATGCCCTGGTGCTGCTGCTGGTGAGACTGGCACCCAAGGCAGGGGCCAGCAAGAAACCCCAGCCTGCTGTCTACCAAAGGAGGTACCCGAGGTGGGTACCTTTTTCAAACCCTGCCTTCACCCCTCCCCCTAATGGGATCAGTTACCTGTTCCAAGGCCTGGGCCTCTTTTAAAGCCCCTGAAGTGTACAGCCTGTTTTCAAATGAAATAACATACGTTCACTTATTCAGGAAGCAAATTTATTGAGTGCCTACATGTGAGACAGTATGGTGTGCTGGTCAAAGGCTTGGTATTATTACTCCAGGGGATTGTAGGCCTTAGATGCCAGGACTCTTTGCAGAACCTAAGTGAGGCCTGGGCTGAGGGAGCCTGTCTGTTGCTCTCTCTAGTCAGCCAGGTGGGACCTTTTGACCCAGGATGAGGAAGTATGGTCTTTTTTTCTTTTTGAATCCATGATGTTTTAGATTTCCCCCTTAAAACTAGTTAGAAAAAAAAGCCCTTCAGCAAATCACTGTGGCCCCTCTTAGAGCTGTTGTTTTCATTTTTTCTTTGAAAGTGAGTTTTGTATCAAAGTGTGGATAGTGAGATTTGCTTCAGGGCCTGTGGTAGGAAGCCCACAGCTTCCTTGGCCCAGGTTAGTGGTAGGGGGCTGGCCTCTCTGATGAAGTTCGAGAGAGAAGGCCAGACTTGCCTCCACGCTCCTGTCCCTGGTGTAGCTGCCTCACATGGGGTTCTTGCAAGAACTCCCCTTGCAAGACCCTTTTGGGGGTTGCTCTGCTGCCCTCAAAAATAAAAGCCTTTATGATCCAGAGTTGCTATGCACCAAATTTTGATGCCTTTTAAATACCTTGATGCCTGTAGCACTAGAAATGCTTTCCTATTTAAAATAAAAGTCAAATTTTAAAATACAGCTTTGTATACTATGTAAGCTGTTTTGTATCGGCTTTGTAAAAGTTTTGGTGTAAGAGTCTATTTTTTGGCGCTGTAGATAAACGCTTAAATTTTTGTGCAGCGTAGTGGTGTTAAAGCACACATCATCCATTGGACTATGCAAATTGTTTTCCAGTAGCAGCACTGAGCAACGGGTCATGTGATAGCACCCATCCCTTCCCTTCCAACCCATGCTAGATCTTGGGTTGAGGAAGGGGATGAATAGCCTTCAGCTTACTGGAGATGCAGAGAAATTAGACTGAAAGAACAGATGTCTGAGTTCATGTGTGGTGCTGCTGCCCAGTGTGCAACCCACCCACCCCCAGGACTTGCCAGTAGCACCAGAGCTCTGCTGGGCTTGGCTGTGAAGCCCTGCTTTTGATATTCAGAACAGACTGTCATCGTCAAGAATAAGATGGGCTCAAGTTGAAACCTTGTATTTTTTAAAATGGATATTCAGTTAAGAACTGGTTCTCAGTTATGTTTACAACACTTGGGATTGTGTTTTCTTTTACAGTTTGTATTTTAAAACCTTTTATAGGAGTGCAGTGCTCCTTACACAAATACAAAGGGAAGAAGAGCCAGCAGTTCAGGCTCCTCAGTTGTAGTGCTGAAATAATAAACGGTGATAGGTCAACAGTCTCCTTTTTGAAATCTGTCTGAGTTTTCCTCCGCCTGGGGCTGGTGTAGAGCCCCTTGCTCTGGGTGCCAAAGCTAAGGGCACCACAGCTTTTAAAAAGTCCACTTGGCCAGGAAGCTTTGTTTCTTTTACGGAGGAGAGGGTGGAGTTCCAAATTCTTTCCAAGGCTTCAGTTATGCACCCTTAAATGGGTGCAAAGGACATCCCATGGTGTCTGCTGGATTCAGGACAACTGTCCAAGGTGTGCGCGAAAAGTAGGAAGAAAGTCCCCTTTAAAATTCAAGCCTGAGGCTTTGTGTGGGGGCCTCTTGCCCCCTAGTGTTCTTTGGGGATACTGCAGCATAGTCCATCAAAACAGCTTGTGGTTTTGCCTTCTAATACTCCTTGTGCCGAGCTGGAGTGGGGCTAGTATTCTTACATGAGACTCTGCCTCTTTACCCCTAATCAGAAGGGCTACAGGGAGGCAGAGCCTCAGGAGCTTTACTCAAAGACTCAGATGGACCCTTGATTCTCCCAGGAGTCATACATAGAAGGCACAAGGGCTTACATTTTAAAAAAGAAAGAAACCCTGCTGTGGACCCGCCAACCCCACAGAACCTGTGGGCACGGACCATATCCAGGACAGACCAAAGGCTCTCCAGATGCCACTCAGCAAGCCCAAGTCAAACCATCAGGAGCAGGTAGCGCCATTCCACACCCAGGTCAGGCCATCAGGAGCAGGTAGCGCATTCCACCCCCAGCCCTGCACACAGGGTCCAGCCATCATCTTTGGGGAGAACAGGCAGAGGAGTAAGTAGGGGGTGGAGCTGAGGCTTGGGCTCCTCTTGATACCTTCTGAGAGCTTTGACCAGCCGTAAGGAAACCACTGGGTTGAGGCGCTGATCCTCTGGATACAGGAGGAGGGGCATGTTAGCTGAGGACATCAGCTAGCTCTTACTGCCTGTCTCCCTCACCTACAAACACACCCACTCTTTGGGGGCCTGTAGCACAGTGCGTGGCGGGTCACCAACAGGCATCAGACTGGTGTAGTCATCAGGGGCTAGCTGCAGAAGGGACAGAGATTTAGGACAGGGAACTCTAGGCTCAGCCAGGCCCCCAAACCCTCCGGCTACACGACCTCACCTGGTAAGCCTGGAAGACACTGAGCAGATCCTTCATACCAGCTGTGTATGGAATGCCCTGCATTCGAATCAGGGCTCCTGGCTGGGACAACACCGAGGTGGGGGCAGAGGCCAGGGTGGCAGGGGGTGTGGTGAGGTAGCCCACAGTGGTAGGGGAGACTGGGGGGCTAGGGTAAGAAAGGCAGGGGTTCAGCAATCTCATCTGTGGCCTACACCAAGGCCTGCCTCCTTATTTCCCTTGCCTCTGCCTTGTGCTTAGCTCTGTTCCTCTTCCCTAAAACCTCTGCCTGCAGTCTCCTTGCCAGTCTAGACTGTATAGGGCACCAGCCCACCTGCACCTGTCACTCCCCTGTCATCTCAGAATAAAGTCCATGCTCCAATACACCTTGGGTCATCTGGCCCAGGAAGGGGATCAGACAGCCCCCCAACCAGGATGGGGGGCTGTGGGGTTCTCTTGGCAGCAGGGTACCTGGGGTAGTAGGCTGTGTAGTTCATGTAGAGCTGAGTGGCTGGCCCTGGGTAGTAGGCAACGGGGGTGGGGGTGGCAGGAACCCTGGTAGCCGGGAGCAGTGCTGAAGAGGGATACAGAGCTGCTGTCTCAGTGGGAATGAGGGCTGGTGTGGCCTGGAAGGTGGCATAGGTGGGTGGCGAGAGGCCTGGAGGCAGAAGTAGAGAGTGCATCTGCAGTGAGCCAGCACTGCCCTGGGTAGGGCAGCCAGAAAAGAGTCCCCACTGTACAAAGCTGGGCCTACAACGGCCTGGCCCCCACTTGCCTCCTCCTTCCCCAGCCCCTGGGGCACTCACAGGGCAGCTTGCAGGGTGGAGGGGACATGCCACTGCGGCCCAAAGTGGCCCCCATCAGCACACGGCTCATCTCCTCTGTGGAGCAGGGTACCACCTCCACATAGCGTTCCTTCATCACCTTCTTATGGCAACGCTGAGCAGCAGCTAGGGCCCGCTCTGCTGACGTCATCTGGATGAAGGCATCGCCTGATGGCCGGCCCTGTTCACACTGTCTTGTAAGCATGTGCAAAAGTGCCTTATCCCTAGCCGCACACTCCTCTCTCACATAAATGTGTGCCCCCCACTGACAGCAACCTCACCTGCTGGTTGAGCACCATGTGCACACCATGGGGCCGGATGTCAGCTGCTATCTCCCCCAGGAAGCTCAGGATGTCTTCAATGGTGGCTGTGTAGGGCAGGCCTCGAAGACGTACACAATCCCTCCCGGTCCCAGCTACCAGTGGGAAAGGGATGGGCAGCAGTGGGGCAGTAAGGGTGGGAAGGAGTGGGCTGGATGCATAGCGGTTCAGGACCTAGTATGGAAGGCAGCAACAAGCTGGTCATGCCAAGTAGGGCAGGGGCACAGGGGACCTGAGGAGCACCCTGGGGAAGAAGCACATGGGGTGGGGCGGTGAGCCCTGAGTGCTCACCTGCTGCACCTCTGCTGCAGTGCTCCGGAAGAGTTCGATGTATCGCTTACCCAGCATACCCTTATGCCTGCGCAGGGCAGCCTGTGCCAGCTCCTCACAGGCAAAGAGGGCAAAGGCATCACCAGTGGGCCGGCCGTCAGGGTGGCGCACAAAGAGCAGCCCATCAGCACCCCCAGTCACTGGGCACTCTGGCCCCAGGAAGGCCAGCACATCTGCTGGCCCAGCTGAGAAGGGCAGTCCCCGCAGCCGCAGGATCACCTGGTCTTCCCGTGACAGGAAACGGACCACCTCTAAGGATGTGCCTGGGTGGGGGACATGGGAGTCACCTGCTTCATTCATACCCTCCGAAACCTCACCCACCTGGCACATAAGAGAGGCAAGAGGTGGCAGGGAAGTGGGATGTGGATCAAAAACCAGGGGGAGCTAGGGCCTGTTGAGGGCAGACTCACCCCCTGCAATCTTCACAAATTCCTCCCCTGTGGCTTTATACACCTGTGGGTAGAGTGGAAACACCTCATGGGGCTCAGGCCTCCTCAGCTCTGTCCTCCTTCAGCCCCATCTCAAGCCTCACCTCAATATAACGGACGCCCATGTGGTGCTTGTGCCTCTGCAGTGCTAGGTCCCGCTGCTCACTGTCCACAAAGCGGACGAGGGCCTCACCATTTCTGCGGCCCTGGGCATTAAGACAGAGTGCTACACCGCCCCTGGGGAGCCAGTGCTGTGTTAGTGCCTCCTGGGCAGGCCTGCTCTCCTAGGCCACCTGTCCTGCCACACTCACCTGGCAATGTTGAGCCCTTTGAAGAAGCGAGCCACGTCCTGGTCTGATGACTGCCAGGGCAACCCACGGGCCCGTATCACAGTCTCACTGTCCACCATGTCAGCCTTGCTGCTGTAGGGGCAGGACACAGGGTCAGAGCTGTCCAGCTGTTGTCACCCACCCCCATCCCCACACTCACCAAGGCCCTGTCTCATATTTCTGCTTTACCACCTCAGGCTTCGAAAATAATTGACCTAAGAGGAGATGACATGGGGGTCAGCAGGGACTGGTGGAGGAAGTCTCCCCACCAAGCTCTGCAAAAAGGACAGTTGAGGGGGATGAGGAGGTGACAAAGGGGCTTCCACTTTGTAGTCTCTCAGAGAGTGACAAATGGGGAGAGGAACTTTGAGGAAGTAATAGGTAGGTGTTTACCCTCCTGCCTTTGAAAGCAGGTAACAGGTGGTGAGGGAAACCTTACCATCGGGCCCTTCCAGCAGGTGGAGGATGATGGCTACCATTGTCTTTACTTCCCAGACTCCAAAGTCGTCCTCTGTGGCATCTGTTTCCAACCCCAAGTCTATGGGCAGAGAAGTCATGATGAAGAAATCCCAGCATGAGATGCCCTGGGGCAACCAGCATGGACACTAACCCTGGCCACACCTGGGCCCAAGTCTTCTACATAGACACATGCAGAACCCCAACAGACACATTTGTTTTAGCCCAGCTCATGTATGCATTTACATGTCCCCAGCCCAGACATATGTAGACATATGCCCACATTTCAAATGGATCCCAGCACAGAAACAAAAAGATACACAGGAAAAAAATGTGTATGCTGGTGGGTTATATGGACACATAAATAGTGTCCATATAACCCACCAGCATACACATACTCAGACACATACAGCCTCTAACCACCCCTCCACCCTAGCCCTGCTGAGTCACAGATACCCTGTGCCATTGTGGCCACCGTGAGGTCTTTGGTGGGGCAGATGCTTGGGTGCTGATTATGGAATTCTCTGCGGAGGTCATAGAAGGAGAAGAAGGTGTCGGGGAGCACCAGGTTCTGGGGGCACATGGGGAGGGGGAGTAAATGGAGGAACTGAGCTGCCCTGCCCACCCTCACAACAACAGAGGTCTGAGAACCCTACTTCCCCTCATTATGCCTTCAGTAGCATACCTTCCGGGAGGCCTCGGGGTGCAGGACCTGTCGCAGCAGCTGCTGCCCATCAGTACAGAGCATGTAGGGGCCCCCGCTGAGCAGAGCTACCTCCGCGCTCACCAGCTGTGAGAACTAGGGGTGGAAGTGGGAAGAGACACAGACTCACACCTGGGTAGGCAGGGACTAGGGGCAGGAGGAGGGAGAGGAAGGCTGCAAAGCTGGTTCAGCCAGATGTTCAGCCTTACCCTGCCTGGGGAGGAGGCCACGCCCGCTGGGCTTGGCCCTGTACCTCTCCCCCAGTCCACTGTCACCTCCTCCATGCCGAATGGAGGCGGTCACACATCACCCAAACCCCTATCACATGCAGAGTCAAGGAGTCTGGAATGGAGCCAGAGCAAACACCTGGTGTAGTGGGACTAGCAGGTGGGAAGGGGCGGGGTAGAGCAGGTTAAACCTGTCCCTGACCAGGCACCACCCTCAACACAGGTGGGGGAAGCCTAGGCCTGCCAGAGGCCCAGACTGCTCATGGTCAATGGCAGCCCCGCCTCCAGGTCTGACCAACAAGGGGCAGAGAAGCTCCAAGGACAGAGCTCCACACCTGGACGCCACGGGCAGCCTGAGCTTTGACCCACACCCTATCGACCGGCTGGCACTGAGCTGTTTGCTCATAGAGGGGGTGGCACTTCAGAGGCTGCCCAGCCCCTCCCCAGCCTCCACCCCTGCTGTAGAACAAGTACTGAGCACAGGTCCATGGACCCCCCTCTGCCAATTGTGACAATCTGAGAGTGGCAGAGCAAAGGCAACCCAGCTCTCCTCCAACACACTCCCCAGTGGGGGCTAGTCTAGGAACCCTTCTGGAACAGACCCAGATGCAACATCTTTGTGCCTCAGTTTCCTCATCAGGAACCACCACAGCTGGAGGATCAAAGAGATTGTCCGATTAAGGCACTTACTCTCATTACACTCAGCTAGAGTCAGGGAACGTGTGGGCGCATAGTGAAGACAAGAAAAAGAAAGCAGCAATGGGCACCGCTTCCCACTTTAGTCACTTCAGCACTCTAAACACTCTGAAAGCAGGTAATCCCCAGGCAGAATCCGGACAGCGCCCACGCCTGGCCAGCCGGCGGGACAGGCCTAGACGGGCAGCTTACACCTGGCGGCGTCTCCCTCAGGGGCAGACACTGCCCTACGCCCTGGCCTCAGCGGCTCCCAGGAGGGCAGGTGGGCCGAGGACGCGGGTGCAGGGCAGTGACCTATGGCCAAGACTAGGCCCCTCGGCCCTTTCGGCTTCCGGCTGCTGCTCTGGGACACCCGACCGGGCAGGATCCCAGAGGCGTCTCAGCCTCACTCCCCCGCCCAGCGGGGACTCTGGGAGGGTTCCCACAGTCTCGATACCCACCCTCCATTAGTAGTGGGCCCTGGAAAATCTGAAAAGTAAGGCGCCCCCAGGGAGGACCAGCAAACTCGGACACACGTACACACGGGAGTCGCTGAAAGTTTCAAACAGCAGGAACCCGTCCTACCGCCCGGGCCAGCTGGTCGCGGCGCGCCAGGCCTCGCCTCCTGCCACCTCTCCTGCCGGGAAATATCCCCGCAGACCGGCCATGCCGCCACCCACCCTAGCCTCAGAGCTCACCTGCTGCAACACCTTGTCCAGTGGCTCGGCCCGTGCCAGGCTGTCGGCACTAAGGCCGCTCGCCTCGCAGCACTGCGGGCTCAGCGCGGCCGCCTCGGCGCGCACTAGGGACTTGTGCAGCGTCCCCACCTGCGGGCGGCAGGGAAATCCAATCAGCCACTGCGCCCCCCAACTCTGCAGTTCCCCGGCGGCCCTGATGCCCCCTTTCCATACTACCTGGCGTCTCCGCGGCTCCACTGTTTGCCAGACTAGAAGGATTAAGTCGGTCTCGTCGGAGCCCAAGTCGGGCCCCAGCGCACCGGCCGTGGCCCCGAACAGTACGACTAGGGGTCCGGGCCCGGGGCAAGGGTCTGCCGCGGAATCTGCAGCGGGGTCCGGACCCGGAGGCTGTGGCTGGGGCGGCGGCGGAGTCATGACCACAGAGGAAGGGGGCGCTCGGCCAGACACACGCGGACCGACGAGGCGCACGCACGCACTGACCGACGGCAGACGCGGACCAGCTTGCGCCGGACACCGTGTGGCGGGGACGGCACCTGCGGCCTGACTAGAGCAGTGGGCGCTGCTGAGACGCGCCCGCGGCGCCCTGCGGGGCGGGGCGGTACCGGCCCCCGCCCTTTCTGGGCGAGTTACCTGCCGGCCCCGCCAGCCACGTGACCGGGGGCGGCTCCAGAGAACAGTAGGGGAGGGGTGCCAGAACCCAGCCTAGACCGCGCGCTCGCATACGCCGGCCTGAATGCGCGCTCTGGACCCTGTCCGATTCCCGGGGCGTCCCCAGCCCCCAGGAACCGTGAGAGCTCTGCAAAGGAACGTGCAGGACCCGGGCCCTTCCCCAGTCCTTGAAGGTCACACGGGACCTGTGGGAGTCACCAGGAGTCAGTCAAGGACTTGTGGGGGAAGAAGCCGGCGGAGATCATCAGGGGTCATAAGAGCCTTAGGAGAGAGGGGTCATAGGGCAAGGCTTGTCCACATAAGGACGAGGGCCTGGCCCGAGCGCGGCTCCGGGAAGTGTCCGCGGTGCCGAAACGTGGTCGATGTGGGACGGAGGATGTGCAGGCTCTGTGCTACGGAAAGAGAAAGTCCCCTGCTCCCTCCAACCGGGAGCAGCACCCTGGACCGGGAAGAGTTGAATAGTCCGAACCTGAAACATCACTACTCCCTCGCTTACACACGCGCGCGCGCCGGTAGGGAAAGGCTCAGGGCCTGTTGCCTGGAGACTGTGAGCGCGCAGGCGAGTGGGGGCCTAGCGGCGAGTGTCCCGGGCCAATACTCCAATTCCGACAGTTCTCCGTTGAGGACTCACTGGCCCCCTTCGCCCGATCGAGTTTGGTGAGGCTCCTTTACGGCGCTTTTCCAGGCCGCCCCGGTATTTCCTGAATTCTCCCATTTACTTGATTGAGAAACTGAAGGAGAACCCAGCGGGAAGAAGGGACACCGGCTTGGCGGAGGCGGAGACAGGGTGGCCAAGGCCGGCCCGACACAGGCAGCGGCCCTACCTCGCGCTTTCGGAGAAGGCCTGCGAACAATGGAGGGAGCGGAGGATAAGAATGCATCCTCAGCTCACGCCTGGGGAATCGGGGTGGAGGGGGCGCCTCCGAAGCCTTGTCCACTGACTCCACACAGCAGCGCGCTCCCCCCTTAGCGAATGAAGAGACTGAGGCACCCAGGACGGAAGTGACTTGCGCCGGGTCACGGCGGCCGGGAGAGAGTAGGAGGTGGACCCCATGTTCCGCGGTTTCGGTCTACCAGCGCTTCCACTTAGGGAGGAGGCGAATGCTAGAGCGCGGTCGTGCTCTCCTGATCGCCTACTAGGACACCTCCTCGCGTGTGACTACCTGCTCAAGCACGGAGGGAGGGACGTCGCTCATCCGGCTCCGCCCCTCTCCCGATAAGCCCGGAATGTCAAATATTTGTCCGCGAGCGGGTGCTGGGCGCAAACGCGAGGTGAGCTCCCTCCTCCACTCGCTCTGGAGCGCGCGTGCGCGGGGCGAGTCTTCTTCGCGGCAATGCCTTTCCAGGCAACTTCTCTTCTTCCCAGAGGCAGCCCTGGGGACGCAGACGAGGCTGCTAAAACGCCCTCGGCGTGTATCGCTCTTTCCCAGGCTCTTGTCTGAGACTCTGCTCCTACGGGACAGAGCCTCGGCGTCCCCGCCGGGCGGTCCAGTCCCCACCCGGGCTCGGTCTTGCGCCTCCTAGCCTTCCCATCATTCAACTTCAGACCTTGGCGCAAGGCCGTTTCCCCTTCCTTCAGCGTCAGTCTCGACTCTCGGTTCCCCAGGAAGCCTCCCTCTCGAGGTGACCTCTGCTATATGGCACCTCAGGCCGTCCTGAACATGTTCACCCTGGAGCTGCGCTCATGCATGTCCAGGTCCTCGCTGGGTGGCGAATCCGAGACACCAGGCTGGCAACGTGGGGAGGTTCCCTCCAACATCCGCGCGCCCATCGGGCCGCCGTCACTGGCAGAGACTAAAGAATGAAATCTCAGACAAATCTGACATCTTCACCCGGCACCCCCACCAGACGCTTCGATGCTTTTCTTGAAAAACGTAATTCGTTAAAATAGTGTTGAGAGCCCTGATTTGCTGAGCTCTCTCATCTCCTTCAGAAGAGGCTTCCTGGATCACCCCATTAATATTGAACATCCTACACTCCTGTCCCTCAACCGACTCCTATATCTCCCCTCAGCCGGCCCACTAACCGTCTTCTAACACGATTTATTTATCCACCACTAGTCTGTCAGTTTGTGTACTGTGGTGGCTTGTGTGTGGCTATCATGCTGGAAGCTATGCCACCAATATTTGAAATACCAGCAGGGTCACCCATGGTGGACAGGTTTCAGCGAAGCTTCCAGACTAAGACAGACTAGGAAGAAAGGCCTGGCACTCTACTTCTGAAAATTAGCCAATAAAATCCTTCTGGATCACAACAGAACACTGGTCTACTTCAAGCATTAGAGGAGGAAGGACATCATGACTGGTGAAGTAGAGGGCCAATGAGGGCTTGGGAGACTTTCTGTGAGCTGGATTGACACATTAGCTGAAACAAATTGTCTCAAACATGCTGGTGATAGTGAGGATGGCGCAGGACCAGGCAGCAAGCAGTTTGATTCTGTTGCACATAAGGTTGCCATGAGTGAGAGTCAACTTGATGGCAGCTAACAACAGGATTTATTAATCATTTGTCTCTCACTGGCCCATCACCACCACTCATGGAATATCTGATACTCAAGGACAGAGACTCATCTTTAGCACCTAGCATGGGCAGGGGCAGATTATTCAATAGGCAAGGTAAGTAACATGCTTAGCTTGCTTACCAGATCATCTGCAGTGAACAACCCATGTGAAATTGTTCACTACAGATTAGTAAGTAAGCACAAGCAAGCCCGTGCTTACCTTGTTACTGGGTCATCCGCCCCTGTCATGGATTATAAATTTGAAAAGAGGCTTTGATTCTGTAGGAGGGTGCTGTGGGTTTGGAAGAGAGACTGAAGCTAGCATACCTAGAAACAGAATCTTTGATTTGGTGAAAAAATGTGAAATGGTTCACTACAGATGATCTGGTAAGCAAGGTAAGCATCGTGCTTACTTTGCCTATTGGATAATCCACCCCGATCATGGCCCTAGCAGGGAGTACTTGTTCATTAAGATTTACTGAATGAATGAATAGTTCTCTAAATGCATGCTTTGTCTGCTTTCTGGTATTCCAGAAATCTCCTAGTTAACTCTGCAGATTTCCCGAATGCCCCTCTCAAAGTGCCTCCCTCTGTAGCAGGGGTCCTCACTGTAGTTTGAGATTTCTGTACTTAACTGTTAAATGCCCCTGTTCCCGCTCCGCTACCGGAGCCCAGGGCTTGGGAATCATGAATGAGTGCATCTGAGATAAGATCACTGGAGAGGGCTGAGCAAGGTCCCAAAGACCCAGCCTTTCGAGAGGAGACCTTTTCCAAACCTCACTCAGGGTATTTGGGGAAAGGGGCTCGGTTCCCTGGGCTGCACTCTAATGGAACTCCATCTTCACCTCTGCCCTTAGAGGCCTGCTTGGGCCCGCAGCTATCCCTCCTTATCTCCCGGACCTCCAGACTAGCGAGCGTACTGGGGTCCTCACTTCTCCCACCCCACCCCCACCCCCACCCCCGGCTCCCATTTTCGCGCCTTTGCCGAATCGCCGCTGAGTGCCCACCAGGGGGCGCACTGACACCATCGCCAGAGGTAGGGCGGGGACGGGAAGAGGGCGTGCACTGGAGGGCCAGAGATGCAGCCCAAGGCGCGTCTCTTGGGCTTGAGACTTCGTGACTCCTGGCTCCCTGGACAGAGGCCAAGTTTTTAAGCTTGGTTTTCCAGGCCCTCAACCCCTCTCCACTCCTCTCCCACCCAGTGTGCTTCAGATCCACTACTTTGATACTTCAGGTTTCCAAGCTGCTGCCCATACTGAGCCTCTGCCTAAAGCACCCACCTACCTACCCACCTCTTTGTTCTCCTGGCAAACTCCCACTTATATGTCAAGACCCATCTCTAATGATCCCTTCTCTAGGCAGCCTTCCTTGATGCCTAGGCCAGGGTAGATGGCCTGTTCTGGGTCCTTTGCCCCCAAAGTTGTCATGATTGGGTCAGTGTTTGGCCTCTCATGACCCCAGGGAGGCTCTGGCAGCAGAGGATAGGGGCCTGCTGAGCCTTGGGCTTTAAGGATAATCAATTGGCCTCCAAATATGCTCAGCTCTGGTCACCAAACCATCTCAGAAACCCCTGTCTGGTTTGGTTGGCCCAAGCCTAGCCACCTTCCTGGCCCAGGTAAGGGAGCTCAAAGATTGGCTGGTGTCTTAGTCATCTAGTGCTGCTACAAAAGAAACACCACAAATGGATGGCTTTAATAAAGAGAAATTTATGTCTTCACAGTACAGTAGGCTAAAAGTCCAAATTCAGGGCGTCAGCTCCAGGAGAAGACTTTCTCTCTCTGTCGGCCTTCTCATCAATGTTACCCCAGACTAGGAGCTTCTCCATGCAGGGATCCCGGGTCCAAAGGACAGGCTCTGCTCCTGGCACTGCTTTCTTGGTGGTATGAGGTCTCCATGTCTCTCTGCTCACTTCTCTCTTTTGTATCTCAAGAGATTGCCTCAGGACACAATTCAATCTTGTAGATTGAGTCCTGCCTCACTAACACAACTGCTGCCCATCCTCCCTCATTAACATCATAGAAGCAGGATTTACAACATATAGGAAAATCACACAATACCAGGAATCATGGCCCAGCCAAATTGATATCCACATTTTTGGGGGGACATAATTCAATCCATGACAGCTGGGGTGGAGGGTGGAATGCAAAAGGCGCAGGAACACAGGAGGGGCAAAGGCTATTGGCTGGATTCTCACCTGATGAAGGTACTGGTTTGGCTCCTTCGTCTCTGGGTTTATTCTCACCTC